GCCACTGCACTCCAGCCTGGGCAAAGAGAGTGAAACTCCATCTCAAAAAAAAAAAAAAAAAAAAGATACAACTAAGTGAATGTCTGTGTAGCAATGTACCTCCCCTCTCAAGAATAAAAGGCTTTGGAGATAAGGCATGCTTAACCTTGTGAACAAATTGCTTGCTGATGGGATCAGGTAAGGTGGGGCCAGGGTGGCAGAGGTAGCTTTGCCTACTGATATTGGCCCCGTATAAAATAACAGCTAATATATACTCAGCATCTATTACCTGGCTTATATGTGAGCTCGTTTCTCTTTTATAACAGTGCTGAAATGTAAAATGGTTTTATTTTACAATAGAGGAATTTGATATTGAAGGAATTAAGTTCCCTGCCAATCTTGTTAGAGTTGGAAAGGGAACGCAGGTCCTTTTGACGCAGACATCCATCATCACCCTGTAGCTAGTAGTGATGGGAGGAGAACCAAGAGAACAGGGAGGCAGAGATCCTTGGTCAAGTGCTCTTGAGAACATGTCAGGGAAAGTCATTACGTTCAGCGTTTTCCATTCTCCTTTAGCCATGGGTCAGGGTAAATTTAGACGTGACTACAGATGAGACCTGGGGAAACGTGAAAACCTCACATGTATCCATGCAATGGAATATTGTTCAGCCTTCAAAAAGAAGGAGATCTTGCCTTATGTAATAATGAGTAAATCTGGAGGGCATTATGCTCAGCGGAATAAGCCAGTTACAGAAAGATAAACACTGCATATTTCACCTCTATGGGGTACCTAAAAGAGCCACACTTACAGAGGCAGAGAGTCCAACCGTGGGTGCCACGGTCTCAGGGGAAGATCGAGGTAGGGAGTTGTGAACCAATGGGTAGAAAGTTTCAGTTGTGCAAGATTACTACGTTCTGGAGGTCTGCAGAACAACGTAGCACCTACAGTTAACAGTTCTGTATTGTACAGTAGAAAATCTGTATTCTTACCACGATCAAATAACAACACAAACCCTCAGATGGGCATGAATGTTCTCCGGCAATGAGATGGGGTTTAGGAGACAGGCAGTGGTGGAGAAAGCCAATGATTAGTTAGAGCTGGAGTGAGAGATCGGTGGACGAGTATCAGAGGAGGACACAGGGCATGGAGGGGAGTGGAGGGAGAGCGTAGCCAGAGGGATCTAGGTTTCCATGCCTAGACCCGAGAGCTAGGGAGACGAGAAGACAAGAGCAGTGGTGAAGTCACTTGTCTTCTCATGACTCTCAGCCTGTCCCTCTTGCGGGTTACCTGCTGGTGATGGTATGTCCTGTTCCTCCAGCTGTCATGCCTGCTTCCAAGAAGGATAAAGAAAGGTGCCAGCTATGTTTGTCCCCTTGTATCGGCAAACACTATCAATGACACCCCTAGCATACTTCTGCTTGTGTCTTATTGGCCAGAACTCTGACTCATGGCCACCCAAGGCTTAAAAGGAGGCCAGGAAAACAAGTCAGTCAACTGGGATTATACCTACAAGGACGGAGAGCCTGGGTGAGCCAGCAGCTCTGTCTGCTGCTGGTATCGTCCTTAACCGCAACTTTGTGTCAACAACTCACCGGATTGCTTTTTCCCTGACACCGTCAATGCTATAAGAGGAATTTATGCAGAATGAAGACAGACCCAATGTGAGCAATGGGAAGGACATTTTTGATGTACGGGGTACTTTAAGAGAACAGGTTTGCGAAGGGTTCTAAGTGCAGACTTTTGTGTTGGCAGAAAACAGCCAAGCCATCGGTGGGTCCAGGGTGGATGGATGTAGGGCCGGGAGAAGAAAGCAGAATGCAATAGCAGTAACGATGAACCCAGCTTATTTCGTAATTTTCCTGGGATCAACACCGTCTTTGCTGTACTAGTTGCTAAAAATCTCCAGTGCCTTCTTTTGCTGTGCAAACTGAACTTCACAGATGCTTGCTGTAAAAAAGTACACCTGGGCCGGGCGCGGTGGCTCAAGCCTGTAATCCCAGCACTTTGGGAGGCCGAGGGGGCTGGATCATGAGGTCAAGAGATCGAAACCATCCTGGTCAACATGAAACCCTGTCTCTACTAAAAATACAAAAAATTAGCTGGGCATGGTGGCGCGTGCCTGTAATCCCAGCTAGTCAGGAGGCTGAGGCAGGAGAATTGCCTGAACCCAGGAGGCGGAGGTTTCGGTGAGCCGAGATCGCGCCATTGCACTCCAGCCTGGGTAATAAGAGCGAAACTCCATCTCAAAAAAAAAAAAAAAAGTACACCCAAGGGCATTCTCCAAGAGGATAAGAAAGACGCTAACAACCTGCAGCACTGTGGAGGCTGCAGGTGAAGGGGTCTAGGGTGTAGGTCACTGATACTTCTTGGAATCAGACTGGCCATCCCCTGAGCTATTTGGCCTCAGAGGGCTGGGCCATGGTGACACCCCAGAAGCTGCCTGAACTGGGCTCTAGGCTATTAGTGCCAATCTTGAATTCTTTCCCAAGAGCAAGGCCAATCATGAATTAGTTCAGCAGAAGAGCCAAAAGGAGAGAGACCATGAATTATTCCATTGAAATCCTTTTCTCTCATTTTTTCCTGGTTAATTTTCCTTCAATTTCATTTTGGAAGTTCCTTTGGCTGTGAAAGCTTGGGTTTTCCCTGCTGTGAGGTCAGGGCACTAGGTTTTGGAGGGATCATTTACATTCTTGGTCTCTTGATGGACAGAGCCGCTGTCTGCTCATAAAGACAGACAGTGACTCTTTGTGCATGCTACAGTGGGCGACAGCTCTTGCTGTGACTTGCCAAAGGTCATTTCTCGAGCTAGGAAGGAGCCATCATCTTCGGGATTTCAGTTGACCTCGTAGCCACAGGAGGCCCAGAGAAGGGTTTCCCTTCAGTCTAACTGGTGTCACTTCCAATTAAACATTTGGCATCATCACTGGAAGATTATTTTTAAAACTTGCCTTGTTTAAAGAGATTGAATTGATTTATCATGTTATTGCTGTAACTGAAATTCCCAACATGCAAATAAGAGTGACTTATGAAAACATTATCTTCTAAAGTTATAAATCCTGAAGATGGGTATATTTTTCCTCTACAGTGTCAAATCACTCCAAATGAGCTCTGATTGCGTGAACCACACATTCTCCCACTGAAAGTCAAACTCTCTTCAAGGCTAGGTTTTTGCACTTGATAGTTCAATATTTATACTCTCACCCTTTCTTACTATAACTAAAAACTTTTCTTTAAAAATCAGGTAAAAGGTCCAGGTGCGCCTGTAATCCGAGCATTATGGGAGGCCAAGGCGGGTGGATTGCCTGAGCTCAGGAGTTTGAGACCACTCTGGGCAACACAGTGAAACCCCGTCTCAACTAAAATACAAAAAATTAGCCGGGCATGGCGGCGTGGGCCTGTAATCCCAGCTACTTGGGAGGCTAAGACAGGAGAATCGATAGAACCCAGGAGGCAGAGGTTACAGTGAGCCGAGATTGCGCCACTGCACTCCAGCCTGGGCCACAGAGCACGGCTCCATCTCGAAACAAAAACAAAACAAGTAAAATATTTGTATTTATAGAAAGTCAGATGATGGAAATTGTTCTGCTTATTTTAGAAGTTTGATATTCTAGTGAGATTAATATGTTAAAACAGTTTAGTTTATTTTCAATGGCCAAAATATATTTATCAAGTGCCTATGCTAGAGTGCTATATTAGACACTGTACAAAGAAAAAAATACGTGATCTCTTGGAAGTAGTTTTCAATCTAGGGAGTAAATTAGTATTTTTTTCAAGTCCATAAAATTCATTTCAAAGTGATTTGAAAATTAATCGGCTGGGTGTGATGGCCCATACCTGTAATCTCAGCACTTTGGGAGGCCAAGGCGGGCAGATCACCTGAGGTCAGGAGTTCAAGACCAGCCTGGCCAACTTGATGAAACCCCGTCTCTAATAAAAATACAAAAATTATCAGGTATGGTGGCAGATGCCCACAATCCCAGCTACTCTGGTGGCTGAGACAGGAGAGTTGCTTGAACCCAGGAGGCGGAGGGTGCAGTGGGCTGAGATTGTGCTGTTGCACTCCAGCCTGGGCAACAAGAGCAAAATTCTGTCTCAAAAAAGAAAAAGCCGGGCACGGTGGCTCACACCTATAATCCCAGCACTTTGGGAGGCTGAGGTGGGTGGATCACAAGGTCAAGAGATCGAGACCATCCTAGTCAACATGGTGAAACCCCGTCTCTACTAAAAATACAAAAATTAGCTGGGCATAGTGGTGCGTGCCTGTAATCCCAGCTACTCAGGAGGCTGAGGCAGGAAAATTGCCTGAACCCAGGAGGCGGAGGTTGCGGTGAGCCGAGATCGTGCCATTGCACTCCAGTCTGGGTAACAAGAGCGAAACTCCGTCTCAAAAAAAAAAAAAAAAGAAAAAGAAAAAAGAAAATTAATCGTACCAGTGACTGTTTTTAGGCTCATCCTTCCCTCCTCTGTCATTAGGAGTAAGTGCCACTGTCACATCGCCCAGTGGGCTGCTGAATGACGTTGGATGAGTAAATAAACATCCAGGAATGGGAGGGAGAGAGACTGACAAATAGTAATGAGTCAGAGTCATCCTTTAAAAGGTGGAAATCATTGGAACAGAAATGCAGTTTAAATAAGCTACAGACGAAGACAGCAGCATAAAATATAGGGGAATATTTGCATCTTATTCCCCCAAACTTAGGCTCCTTTTGTTGGTGGAGGGTAACAAGAGGGACATAAATGTTTCGTTTTTGGACCATCAGAGTTTTGGTCTCCATTCAACTCGGAGAGATCCCACTTTCATTCACACCAGTATCATCTCTAGTGGGTCCTATTGCAATAGCCTCCCCATGGGATATTCCTGACTGCTATGGTGTAAGTGTTTGCAGCCTCCAAAATGCACATGTGGAAATCCTAGCCCCGGGGCGATGGTGTTAGGAGGTGGGCATTTTAAGAGGTGATGAGGTCACAAAGGCAGAGATGCATGAATAAGATTAGTGCCCTTAGAAACAGGACCCCTGGGAGCACTCTCACCCCTTCCAGCAAGGGAGGACACAGCAAGAAGGTGCCGTCCATGGGCCAGAAAGTGGGCCCTCAGCAGACGCTGAATCTGCCTTAATATTGGACCGCGCAGCCTCTAGAAGTGTGAGAAGCAAATTTCTGTTGTTGGTAAGCTACCCAGTCTATGGTGTCTTGTCATAGCAGCCCTAGCAGACGAAGACTCTCAACCCTCCCCCAAATCACTGTCCAGATTATAGGCCGTATTACGCCATCCTCCACTAAAGACCATCCAACGCCTCATCACCATTGGCAAAGAAAGCCAAGCATCTCAGTATAAACCCCTGCTAGGCTCCCCGACATGAACTGCCCATCTATCCACATGTCACCAAGTTGACCATGTAACCTGCTCGCAGCCCTTGAGCCTGCCATGTTGTCCCATGCCTCCACGGGGACTGTCCTTTGCTTTTTGTAACCCAGCCTTCCAAACTCAGCTCAAAGGGTAAGACCCTGGAGAACCTTCCTTCCTCCTCTCTCTTCCTTCCTGGCTGACTTTATCTGCTTCTATTATAAGCTCTCCTACTCCACTGGTGTTATTTTGCTTATTTGATTGTCCCCGGTGTGCTGGCAGGAACTGGGTCCCGGTCATCTCTATGTATCTGAGGATCCAGATGGTGTCTGTTACATTGACCATGCTTACTTCATATCTATGGAGATGAGTGAATAAAGGAATGAATGTGGACTTCAATGGATAGAAAGGATTGCAGGATGTTTTTAAATGGTGGGGATGAGAGGTGTACAATAGTCTTGAATTCCAAAGTGTATGTGAACCTAAGTTCCAAATACTGTGTATTATTTTTAGTGAAGCCCCCCTTCTTGGTCCTGGAGCAGTGGTTCTCAACGTGGTATATAGGTTCATTTTCACACTGCTGATAAAGACTGGGTGATTTATTTAAAAAAAAAAAAAAAAAAAAGGGCTTAATAGACTCACGGTTCCATATGGCTGGGGAGGCCTCCCAATGATGGCAGAAAGCAAAAGGCATGTCTTACATGGCCACAGGCAAAAGAGAGAATGAGAACCAAGCAAAAGGGGTTTCCCTTATAAAATCATCAGATCTCATGAGACTTATTCACTACCAAGAGAACAGTATGGGGAAACCACCTCCATGATTCAGTTGTCTCCCTCTGGGTCCCTCCCACAACACATGGGAATTATGGGAGCTACAATTCAAGATGAGATTTGGGTCTGGGTGCAGTGGCTCATGCCTGTAATCCCAGCACTTTAGGAGGCCGAGGCGGGCGGATCAAGAGGTCAAGAGATCAAGACCATCCCTGCTAACATGGTGAAACCCTACCTCTACTAAAAATACAAAAAGTTAGCTGGGCGTGGTGGCACGCACCTGTAGTCCCAGCTACCTGGGAAGCTGAGGCAGGAGAATCGCTTGTACCCAGGAGGCAGAGGTTGCAGTGAGCTGAGATGGCGCCACTGCACTCCAGCCTGGGCCACAGAGTGAGACTCCCTCTTAAAAGAAAAATGAGATTTGGGTGGGGACACAGCCAGACCACATCAGTAACTCCCCAGACCAGCAGTGTCAGGATCATCTGGGAACTTATCAGAAATGCAGATTCTCCAGCCCCACTGTAAACCTCCTGAGGCAGAAACTCCAGGGTGGACCAGCAATTGGTGTTTGAACAAGCCCTCCAGGTGATTCCAATGCAGCTGCAATCTAAACACCACTACCTTCAGAAATAAGGTCAGGCTAGGTGCGGTGGCTCAGGCCTGTAATCCCTGCACTTCGGGAGGCCAAGGAGGGTGGATCACCTGAGGTCAGGAGTTCAAGACCAGCCTGACTAACACGGTGAAACTCCGTCTCTACTAAAAATACAAAAATTAGCCGGGCATGGTGACGTGCTCCTGTAATCCCAGCTACTTGGGAGGCTGAGGCAGGAGAATCACTTGAACCTGGGAGGTGGAGGTTGAAGTTAGCTGAGATTGTGCTATTGCACTTCAGCCTGGGCAACCAGAGTGAAACTCTGTCTCAAAAAAAAGGAAAGAAAAAGAAGGTCAGGATTTCATAATATGCTTGTGTCCTGGTTTGAATTCTGTGCGGATGAATGAGTTTACGCTGGCTCATCTGCATGGGGAAAACTGCTACTGACTACCTGTCATGTACTGAAGTACTAAGACCCCCATTCAGGTCTGCTCTCCTTTCTTACCCGGATTTCCCATACCCCTCTGCTTCAAATGGCAGAACAGAGAGTGTTAGAGGATAAGATCTAGAGCTTTGATGAATGTGAAAAGAGACAGCTGGAATGGCGGGGGAAAAAAAGCCTGTTTATGTTGGAACAAGTCCCCAAGCCTCTGGGTTTGTCCTGAGACAAACCCAGGACATTGAGAAGGAAGGAGTCAGCAACAGTAATGAACAGATCACGGCTTGATGGTAGAGATGCCTGTGTTAGAATCCTACCTCCAGCACTCAGAAGCCGGCAGACTCCTTACCTTTCCTGGGCCCTACTTCCACCAAATGTAGAAGCGAAATAATAGTAGCCACCCATTGGGGTATTGTGAGGATCAAATGGGACACCCTGTTACGCGGGAGCTCAACAAACACTGACCCCTTCCCTTCTCCCACCATTTGGTGAAAGGCCTGGACTGGGCCAGATTCACAAGGGGATTTAAGGGCAGAGATGAATCAGTCTTTCTGGTGACAGTCTCAGGCTGTGTTCGGCAAGTTTTGGTGATAGAGGGACCCTGATAGGGTTGCCAGATAAAACACAGGGCATCCAGTTACGTTTAAATTTCAGACAAACAATGAATAATGCTGTATTAGAAGCACATCGTATGCAATATCTGGGACATGCTTATGCAAAAATATTATTCCTTGTTTATCTGAATTTCAAAGTCAAGTCACTTGGGTGTCTTGTGTTTTTATTTGCGAAATCTGACATCCTTGGGGTAAGAGCAAGTTCCATGGCTCCACTTTTCTCCCCTCTCCTCAATATTTTCATAAAGTCCATTTCTGAGCAGAACATGCTGGACACACCTCATGGGAAAACCTGGCACCGAAGGACACTGGGTGATGTGGAGTTGGAGGAGAGAGTCCCATCAAACTGTTTTGGAAATGTGGGAAGAGAAAAGGAAGGAGAGCTTGATGACCGTTCAAGTCTCAGATTCTTGCCTCCACCACAGGACAGGAAGCCATGCCTTTCCCTCGCTCCCCGCCCCCAGGCACCTCTGGAGACACATTAAGGTCATCTCCCCATTCCTGTGGACTTGCCCACAACTCCAGGTCAGATAAGGCGTTTAGGGCAAGGAGCATGCTTTTTAGGATTTCATGGCATTATTTTTATTTCCCAAAGTGGTATCATGCCGGTAAAGAGACTTGACTCAATCTAGCAAGTGAGTTGGAACTTAAAATAGTTGCTTATTTTTACTCCTTTGAAAATGATTAGCAGTTGAATTACTTAAACTAGAAAGAGATGGGGGAGTGAGAAGGGAGAGCTTCCGCCCCAGGCACGGCCAGGGGAGAGTGCTAACTGTGGTTATCAGGAGATCAAAGAACCAAGGAGAGACTCCTTTGATCAGACTTGTCAGAGTTGCAGTTAGATCTTTGAGACACTGCACTTGGCCACCCCCCTTCATCAGTATTTCTTCTTCATGGACACCTGGGAATGCTAGCACAAGGCAGGCCCCAGAAGAAGCCCACGTGGCTGTGTGAGATCCAGTGTGCCCTAGGACATGGAGACATAATCTTTCTCAGAGAAAAATCCCTTTGATAAATCCATTTGCTTTTTTTTTTTTTTGAGATAGAGTCTGGCTCTTTTCACCCAGCCTGGAGTGCAATGGAGCAATCTTGGCTCAATGCAACTTCTGCCTCCCAGGTTCAAACTATTCTCTTGCCTCAGCCTCCAGAGTAATTGGGATTATAGGTATGTGCAACCATGCCCGGCTAATTTTTTGTAGTTTCGTAGAGATGGGGTTTTGCCATGTTGGTCAGGCTGGTCTCGAACTCCCAACCTCAGGTGATCTGCCCCCCTCAGCCTCCCAAAGTGCTGGGGTCACAGGCACCCTCCACCATACCTGGCTAATTTTTGTATTTTTAGTAGAGACATTGGCCAGGGTGGTCTCAAACTCCTGGTCTCAGTTGATTCACTGCCTCAGCCTCCCAGAATGATGGGATTACAGGCATGAGCCACCGCACCTGGCCGCAGTTGCTTATTTTTAAGATGGGGGGAAGGTGAATGGGACCCTTTATCCCAACACCCGCTATACGTGCACATGCCTGCTCCAGCGTGTGAACTGATGTGAATCACGCTGCGCTTTCAGTGTTTTCCCTTTTATACAAATGAAAAAGGTACCCAATTGGCTGGGACTAACTTTGGGGTTGTCTGGATTTTCCAAAGGCTTGAGTAGTGGGAAACCCAGGTGAGGTCCGTCAAATCTACGAAAAGTCAGCTTTACATCCAAGCCAAATTCTACCCCTTCTGATTTCTGTGACTTTGCTAAACAACATAAGACGACATAAACCTAGAGGTCTTCTCTGCCTTCCTGTTACCTGGAAAGCAGCTCACGGGGGCCTTTGAGATCTTGTTCACGGCAGTCCTCTAAGCAGTCTCAGTCCTATCCTGATGATTTTTTTGCGCGATTTATACTAGTCCAGAGAATTCAAGAATAATGGGTATATTTCTGCAGCTGAGCCAAACATTTCTTCTCTATCAGTCTGTGCATGACACAGAATGTCTTGTGGTTTGAATGTTTGTTTCCCTAGCGAACAAGATTTGATATGTGTGTTTCCTAATCTTGAGCTATCGAAATATTGATTCTCATCCTGACCTGGCCTCCTGGGAAGAGTCAGCATGTCTGTATCTCTGGGCTCTGAATTTAGGCTATTGCCCTGCTGGCCTAGCCTGTGAACACCAGGATGAGATTAGATTTGCTTGGGGGTGGGAACTGTAAATCCCTGTGAAATAGCTGTCTGTCCTCAGTTCTATTTGACAGAATGAGGCAGCCATTCCCCACATTTCTGGCCCATGTTATCATGTGTTTACCTTAATATCCTTCCTGTTTCCTTCTTCCTATTTGATTTTAATGGATACAGGCTGTCCAGTGAAAATAAGAAAAGAAATCCTAGCTAAACATTCATTTCAACTTCTAAGTAGGATTGTCTGAA